ACTTCCCATTCCTCTTCTCTAGGATTTCACTTCCATAATTGCCCACAAGTACTTTTTCATTCACAAGCATCATCAGCCTCACACTCTCCATGGCCTCCTTCCCTTCTACTGAACAGCAAACAACAACTTACCTTTAACTTTGTTTTCAGTTCTAGTCACCATTTACAATATCTGTATTTGCTTTTTCTCAGTACCCAACTTCTTGACCTGTAGTCTTTGTCCACATTCTCTCACTAATGTCACATGTTCTGGCCCCTACCTTTATCACTCTACTAAAATAGCTCCTGCTCAACAAACACTGTTCTCCTTTCTTCTTTATAATATCTGATAATTCCATTTATTCCCTATGTCAATAAATTCTTCTTGGGGGGTTTTATAATCCAATGCTTTTCTAGTTTCCTTCCAGCCTCCCAGACTGCTCTTTTTCTAACTACTCTGAAAACTCTTCTTCCTTTCCTTCTCCCTTTCTGTAGGTAGTCCTCAAAGTTCTGTATTCAGCCCTTTGTTCTTTCTTACTTATCTTTCACATTAATTTATTCATATTCTCCAGGCCTCAGTCAACTCCTCTGTACTACTATCTTCTATGCCTTCTACTTTCTTCAACCCTGATTTGTATACAAATCCTTTATATCTGTTTCCTAACTACATACCGTCTGAAGCTGATTTTATTACATTCTGCAAATCAGTTCCAGCTGTCAGTTCTACTGTTGTGGGTTGAATTTTTCCTCCTTAAAAAATATGTTGCATACCCCAGAATGTGACCTTATTTGAAAACAGGATCTTTACAGAAGCAATCAAGTTAAAATGATGTCATTAGGATGAGCTTATAGACTTAAATGACCGTTGTCCTTATGGGAAAGGGAAATTTGAACACAGAGACAGACACACACACAGGCAGAATGTTATGTGAACATGAAGGCAGAGATTGGGGTGATGCATTTACAAGCCAAGGAATGTCAAAGATGGCCAGCAAACCACCAGAAGCTAGGAGAGGGGCATGGAACAGATTCTCTCTCACAGCCATCAGAAGGAGCCAACCCTGCTGGAGCCTTGACCTCAGACTTCTAGCTTCCAGAACTGTAAGACAATAAATTTCTGTTGTTTAAGCCACTCAGTTTGTGGTACTTATTATAGCAGTCCTAGCAAACTAATACAATCACCAGCCCTCCATTCTTCCAGATTAGAAATCCTAGACTCATTCTGAGTTCTTTCCTTTCTTCATCATCTATATCCAATCTAGCACCAAAGACTTTATTCCTCCCAAATGACTCCTAGCATCTTTAATCTTAGACTCTCTGTTGCCTCTTTTTCTTCTACCATTTTCCCTTAGTTCCTGTTGCCTTCACTACCCCCAACCTACATCATTTTATATCTGAATTCCTATAAAAGTCTCTGGCTTGTTCCTCTTAATCCAAAAAATATCTCTTAAAATATATAATTCATGTTGCTTTTATCATACAATTGCCATGGTTGAAAGACATGCTTATAGTATCACATTGCCTACTATGCTAAGTCTAAGCTTGGCATTTATAGTCCCTCGTGGTTTAGAACCATCTTGCCCTCTCAGTCTTTTATACTTATCCTTATTTTGTCTATTTATTTTTATCCATCTTTTTATGTTTTATCCATCATCCTTATAGCCATCTTTGAGCCCCGCTCCTTTTCCTCATCCCTCTCTGCATCAAGATGCTTTCTACTTTCTCACCTCTTATCCAAACCTGTTCATCTTTCAAGGCCCTGATCAATTTTCACTGATTGCGACTACTCTGGCCCATGCTAATATCTCTTACCCTTGCTGCATTCTAATCAGTACCTTCCAGGTTAGCACCACATGGTATTTTTTATATTTTATGTATATTTACATATATTACATCTCTATTTCTATCAGCTTATAGGACATAGTGCTTCTAAATTAATTGCTCAAACTCCTAAAGTGGGAATAATTGGAGGTAAGGGAGAAAAGGAAGGAGACTGGATACCAATGGAAGAGAAAACTTTGGGCTAGAACAATGAAGGGGAACTAGTCTGTCAATATTTTCCAAATGTGCTCCCTGGACCACCAGCATATAAATCATTTAGGATGTCTGATGAAATTCAGATTCCCAAACCCTATTACAGACCTATTGAATTAGACTCTGCAGCCCAGAAATCTGAATTTTTAAAGGTAACCTGATGATTCTTATGTATTATATCAAATCTGAAAACTACCAGTTTAAGTGAAGAAGGCAGAAGATAGATGCTGAAAGGGAACAGTTCTTATGTTTACTGGGTACATGTACTTTCCATCATGGCTAACAATAGAATGAAATAGTTTCATACTATCATGATTTGCTTTGATGTGATTCTCCCTCTTCAACACATTACTTTGAGCACAGCAGTCCTTTCTTCCATGGCAAGAATATTTCCAGTACTGAACCACAAATATGGGCTAGCAAGTACAGAGAATCTCAAAGAATAGAAATTTTGTGGCACTCCAAAGAAAGGTAACAGACTGCTAGGCTAGCTTTGACTCTTACTTTCTCTGGGAAGTAAATTTAAACAGAAACATGGCATAGGCGCTTAGAATTCAAGTTTGGTAGTATTGAGAGAGCGAATGAGAGAGAGAGAGAGAGAGAAAGAGAGAGAGAGAGAAAGACAGAGAGAGAGAGAGAAAGACAGAGAGAGAGAGAGAGAGACAGAGAGAGAGAGAGAGACAGAGAGAGAGAGAGACAGAGAGAGAGAGACAGAGAGAGAGAGAGAGAGAGAAACCTTTGAGATCTAGTTGCTTAAGCTTTTAATTGGAACCAAGCATAACTAAAACATGTAGCTGATTTAGATGAAAACTGAAGACCGGCTCACCGGCTCACACTGAGCAGGATTTCTGCACTTGAGTACTACAGACGCAAGATAACAAAATTAGATACGATCGAGGGGAAGAAAAATGCACATAAGTCCTTGAATTAAAATGAATTGAAACCTTCTGGGAGAAAAGCTATTTGGTAAGCTCCATTAAGTCTATTGTAGATAGCTTTATTTGACAAAGCAGCATCCTGGCATGTGGAACAGGAAAGAAAATAGCTATAAGATGATCTGTTAGGGAGTTTCCAGTCTCTAAACGAATAAGATTCTGTGCAGTAGCCAATACAGCTTTTAACTCAAAAGAGATACAGAAGCAAAATGCAATTATATAACCCTAGTAAGTGCATTCAATCTGAATCTCCCATACATTCCACCCATTTCCCAATAACTCCTCAAACTCAGCAATTTATCAAGTGGATGCTCAAACGTACAGTTACACACATTTCAGGGTAACACTGGATTAATACTACACAATACTGCAGAACCTGAGGTGGAAACAAACCTACAAGTCAGACATTAATCAGCTAAAAAATATCCTGGCTAAATAAACATAAATAATTTGAATAGCTCAATTATTGTTAAACTTTTTTGTTTATTTTGGCTATAAGTTTATAGTAAGTGTTTTCAGTAATTAGTTCACTGTCCTGAAAATGTTAACTATTCACTGATTACCAAGGGTTTATTCAATATATATGGAGGTTTATATGTTTAGGGACCTAACATATAGCAAAAAGAGGACATTCAATGTAACAGTTAACAAGTGCTTTTAAAAAAGTCTGACTTGGTGGTTTTCTTAAGAGTTTTTGTTCTTGGAGTGAAGATTCTGGAATCACTCAAGTGGCTAGAACTGTTGACTTCAATATGAAAGTATTAGAACCAATAAATTCTGATTTGCATTATAATCAATCTGTTTTCTGTCTCTGTCTCTGTCTCTTTCTCACACAGACATAGAGTGGGGACAGTATACTATTATATCTCCAATGTCTAGCAGAGTGCTTGAAATACAGTAATTATTAAATGAAGAATGAATTCACTTAACCATCACAAAATCTTTTTTGATGGTGTTTATAAGGTATTTCTCATAAGTGTGGAAGCTGAGGCTCACTGGGGAAGACGTCCTTCCTGTGTCAAGAAAGGCAGAGCTGGGACTAGAACTTAGGTGTTCTAACTTTAGGTCCAGTGTTTTGTCCACCGTATCTTACAGACTCCTAAGATTGTCTAGAATGGTTTTCCTGGAAACAATGTCCTCTGGCTGATATTTTAATCCCCTCCATGGTAATCCCCTCCTCAGATGTTTTGTTATGAAATTGAAGGGTGGTGTGTTATACTGTTCAACAGGTTTGCCATATGAATTCCTCTGGGGACCCAGGCTATGGCCACAGGGTGAGACACAGTGAGGTTGTGACTACACTAGGTATGAGCAAAAGCCTTTACCCAGACAACTGTTTGCAGACTCTTGTTTGATTCCTAATAAACCTCCAAGTAACCACAATGGAAGGCAGCAGATGGGTAGACTCATATATTGTAGATATTTCCCCTTAGTTTATAGATTATCTTTTAACTTTGTGATTTTTAAAGAGAAATATTTAATTTTTATGCTGATACTTTTATCATAAATATCATTTATGATTTCTCTCTTTGGAGATTTTCATCTCAAATTATATAACCAACTCTTATATTTTCCAGAATTTCTTTTGTTATGTATATGGTTGTTTTTTACATTTGAATCTTAAATCCATCTCATATTAATTTTGAGGTAAGGTATGAGTGATATAGGGATCTAACTATTTTTCCTGAAAGTTTGGCTAGTTACCTATTTATGCATATAGCTCTCTCATAGTTTCTACTGTGGAGCATGTTACTAATAAATCCAACCCAAATATAGAACAATGGTGCCTAAATGTCCAGCACACCTCAGAAAAAGAAGTCCACTTACAGTTAGGTACTATGATGGAAGAGGGGGCTAAATTAGGACTACAGTAAATCCTGTAGCCACAGGGTTGAAATTCAGCCAGTGTGTACTTATATGGCCTCATCAATTGCTTCTAGCTTGTTCCAGTCTGATAGGTTTGTGCCCATAACTTACCTATTGTTAACAGTTTTAAAATGTCATCCCTGCAAGTGGATGTTATTTAAATAAAGTAAAGCAGAATTATCTTTACCTGATTCCTCAGTTTCTTTTGTTTCTGTTGTTTCTTCTATTTCATCATCAGACATCTCCATTTCTTCTTCTCGCCTGATTCCCATTAATTCATCATTATGTATGTTGCGAATTTCCTAAGGTTAAAAGGTATGATTTTTAAGTGGAAAGCCTTGAAAATTTGAGGAAGTAAACAGAATTAAGGATAAGGTAAAGAAGGTTTTCTTTTAAACGTGTAACAAAACTTCAGTATTCTTAAGGCAAAGGGGCATGTTGAGGCTGAGGGGAGTCTCAATAGACAAAGCAGACTTTATGTACTCTGTCCTGCATAAGGCTTTCTTTCCATACACAGAGATCTGGCAGTCAATGGTTCTTGTATCTCTCCCATTTTAGAAAGTATCTCATTTTAGAAAGTACCGTTGGCCATGAAAGACCTCGCACCTCTTACTCATGTGGAATTTTGGACTTTCCTTAAGTTTCTGTCATGTTTGCCTTCCCATGTCAAATCTTCTGATTTTGCTGCTATCCATCCTCTTTCCTCTTTCCTTACAGTCTTACTCAACAGAACTCTTAATCAAACTTTTGCAGGTTTAGGAGTTACACTAACAATGAGGTGTCAGGACTGAACTCTTACCATATCAACCCTTCCATACATAATAACTATATTCTCTGAACAAAAATGAAACCCAGCTAAACCCCTAACTACTTGATGGCATTGGAGACTGAACAAAAGCAGGAATATTCTGAAGAGAAGCTGACACTTGGAAGAAGGGTTTCAGTTTTAAAGGGCCTTTTAGTCTGAGAACAGACCACAGTTTGCACCTCACAGAGTGGCTAAATTTTTAAGAGAAAACCCACAGCAGTCTTTATATACTAAAGAAATAAAGAAGAGGGTTCAGGGCACTGGAAAGTGAGGAGGGGATCCTAGAAAGTAGATAGCCAAAGAGAGAGGGATCCAAATTTTGTATGTAAGACCCTTTCAAATTTCTGCATGACTCCTGAACCATGAAAGCACAGGGCAGATTCCAAACAACACAGCTAAGGCTAAAAAACTAAACTAAGATTTGAGCTGCCGTCTAAGAGAAACAATTTCCAGCTTAAACTCAATGAAGTAAATTGACCATTAATTCTTTGAAAGAACGAAACAGAATCCACAGACTTAAAAGCAAAATATTCACAATATGCAGGCAAAGCCCCCAATTAATTAACATACCTCCAAGAACTAGGATGAGATGACCCATTTTCAAGAGAAAAGACAATCAACAGAAACCAGGCTTGAAATGAACCAGAAATGGCAATTAGCAGAACACGGAGTTAAAGCAGCTATTATTACTATCTCAGTGATGTAATGGAAATATGTTAATAAAAAATGAAAAAATAGGGAATCTTAGCAGAGAAATAGAAACCTTCAAGAACAAAATGGAAATTCTAAAACTGAAAAATATGGTATCTGAAATAAAAGTAATTGGATGAGCTTAACAGTAGAATAGAGATGACAAAATAAAGAGAGAGATAAAAAGAGAACAAAACAAATTTACCCAATTGAAGAATAGAGAGAAACTAAAAAACTAAAAAAAAAAATAAAAAATAAAAAAAAGAATAGAGAGAAACTAACTGGATCACAGAAAGAGAGGAAAGATTAAATGATTCAAAATATTTGAAGGAAAAATAGTTGAAGATTTCTCAAACTTGATGAAATATATTAATCTGTATATTCAAAGAACTCAATGAACCCCAAGCAAGGTATATGTAAAGAAACATTTTGTCTAGGAACACGGAGTCAAACTGCTGAAAACGAAACATTAAGAGAAACTCTTTAAGTCTTTAGTAAACTAAATTTATTGCGATAATCATTTCACAATACATTTAAGTCAAGTCACTATGCTGTATGCCTTAAAGTTATACAGTGCTGTATGCCAATTATAGCTCAATAAAACTGGGGGATAAAAAGAGATACTCTTAAAAGAAACCAGAAAAAAAAACACATTATATACATGGGAACAACAATTTGAATACTTTGATTTCTTTCAGAAAAAATAAAGGCCAGAAGTCAGGGGAGCAATATCTTTAAAGCACAAGAAGACACAAAAAATCTGTTTATTCAGAGTTCTGTATGCAGAGAAAAATTCTTTCAAGAATGAAGATGAGATAAATATATTTTGAGACAAATGTAAATGCAAGTGTTTGTCACCCCAAGACTTGCACTATAAGCAGAGCTGAAGAAAGTTCTTTAGAAA